ACCTGTTTACAGAAGAGTGAGAAAGGAGAATGGTCAGTGTGTTAGAGTAAATGTATTGCTGTGTGTGTCTGTGGCCTGGTGTGCTTGTAGACCTCGAAGCCAAGGAGCGTGTGATGGAGGACATGCGTCTGGCTCTGACGGAGCAGGAGGAGACGCAGGAGCAGATGGAGCAGGTTCTGGAGGAGAAACTTGACCTCATTCAGGAGCTCTCCAGCGGTAAGGCCACGATCTGAAAAATCACACCAAGACCATGAAAAGTAAACACAGACAGTGGTGATGTCATTGTTATGAATGAAGTAAGAGTTTTTCACGTGGGCGACTTAGTCTGATCCTATTCTCCCTGCAAACTGCAGAGAAACGGTAAAGTTCATAAAAGACATTAATTGAAGCTGTCTGGACACGGAGACTAGAATAAAAATGTATTTTTCCCAGCAACAAGCCTTTTTAATTGGATACCAGCGTCAGGTCAGTGAGTCTACCAGTGTTTGCTTGATACTTCCTAAGACACAAGTTTGAGTTTAAACAATTGGTTGAGATTTTCTGTCTAATAAAAAAATAAACAGCAAGATTTAAAGACTAAATGGAGATGTAGTCTGTCAGTTGAGCAAAGACATTAGATCTAATTTTAACCTGTACAGGTGTAAAAGACTTGGTGACTTGATTAGTGAAGAGAAGCCTTGAACTTGTAAAGTTATACAAAAGGTACTCGGGGGTGTGTTTGTTTTTTTTTAAGATAAAGATTAATTGTGTTCAGTGTCTGTTCTGATTGTGACCATTTCAGAGGTGGAGAAATTGAAAGGGAAGTTGTTGCAGCAGGACAGCGGAAACAGTGCTCACCTTCAGGTCAACAGCCCATCAAATGACCTCAAGCTGGCCAAACAGGAAGCTGCCCAGGCTCAGGAAAGCTTGAAGGTAATGATGGACATGATTCAGATGCTGAGGTACAACCAGAAATGTGTGTTTTCAAATGCAGCTGAGTACAGGAAACACTAAAAAGGTTTCATTCCAGCAGGTATAGTGGCAGTTCATTCTTTTTTGAGAATGTGATAGATCTGGATATATTTATTTGACAGTGAAGATTCCTCAGTTATACTCAGAGACCATCCACCCTGACCATGTAGATGTGCTCACTTTGAACTCAAAGCTGTTGACGGATCAGGTCACTTGTCTTATATTTAGACTCGATGTAGTCAATTTAACCCTACTTACTTTTTTGTTGATATAGATATTTTTTTTAGGTATTTCAGCTCAAAGGAATACTTTAGCAGACATCCTGCTTTAAAAGATAACCATGTTGGGTACAGCTGTGCACAGAGAAACACCAGGCCGAACGCAGAAAGTGGCTGGAAGAGAAGCTGTCCCTGATCGGCCAAGCTAAAGAGGCGGAGAACAAGAGGAACCAGGAAATGAGGAAGTTTGCTGAAGATAGGGAACGCTACACTCGACAGCAGAGCCAGTTGGTAAGACGAGGTTGATGTGCAAACATGTTGAACACTAGTGAGCCAAAGTAGAAAAAAGTCTAGCAACTTCGACTGTTAAAAGCCAAAGCAAGTCTGATCATGCAGAACTGAGGCTGGGATTTCCAAAACAGCTGCCATACAGAGAATAAACCCTTTTGATTTGGGTAAGATGGTCCTTTTTTCTTCATTTTTTGTCAGGAGTCCTTGTCATCCCAGCTGGCTGAGAAGGAGCAGACCATGGCCAAGTGGAGGAAGGAGAGAGACACTCTGGTAGCAGCTTTGGAGGTCCAGCTACAGAAGCTTCTCTCCAGCCAAGCAGAGAAAGACAAACTCATCCAGCAGCTGCACCAGAGTAACACACAGCTACCACTAGAGGTCAGTACAACATAAAGCTGGTAACAGACATGGGGCCCACACATTGTAGATGCCAACTGTCAGAGACGACAGAGACACTGAATACACCGCTCACGTCTGCCTTTCAGTGTGGATTCCTAGTTGGGCTTCATGGAATATTCAACCTTCAGTAACAAATATACATTGATCAGTGATGCCAGAGCAGTTGGTTTCTATCATTTGTCAAGGCAAAACACCTGCTGTGATATGATCAGGGTTTAACCCACAGGTGAAACGTTCAGCCCCACTTCACTGAGTGTTTGGAGATCAGGACCTTAATGTTGTGAAGGAAAAAGAGAATGAAAAACTTCTTAGCCAGCAACATCACTGAAACCCTACAGAGGGAAGGCACTGAAACCCAGTCCTTAACAAAATTCAGTAGAGAAATAGATAACGATAAATAAGATATCCTTGAGTTTAGCCTTTCTCCCTGCTGGTTTCCTGTGTGCACTTAGAGTGGAAGAGATTCTTTCACTTTGGATCTTTGGGTCATTACTTTGACTCGTTCCGTCTTCGCTTCCCTTTTCTTCTCTGGTAAATTGCAGGTGGTGAGGGTGAACCGGCATTGTTATTGTGGAGCGATGTCTCTCCACATATTTTAAATTTCAGCATTTTGCACTTTGCTCTATCACATTTTGTTCTCACCAAGCTTTTATGTGGGTTTCAAAATGACAATTTGTTGTATTGTGACCATGCAGGTTCCCCAGGATACCGACAGAGCAGACAGTGTGAAGGGCAGGCTGTGATGATTCACCAAATCACACTGGTGCTGTGTTGTGGTTATCTCGATTTTAAAAACTCATATCAGGTGAATTTTATTGGAGAGTAGCGGCTAATTCTATGTCTCTGTCTGAAAAGCAGCAAGTGATTGAAAGGAAACTTTATAAGTGTGTAAAACTTGAAGTATCTAGAGCCCAAGGCTCGTCAGACAAGTATTATGTAAGGCATTGTTTTGAAGTAATGAATCTTTATCAACCAATAACATTTCAGTTAGGATGCTGTCATGGTCTTCTAGAGGTAACATCAGTGGGTATTGGTAAAATATCAAGTACCAAAGGTTGGCACTGAACACATGGTGAGACTTTCCGTCTTGTGTTGGGTGAACTGCTGGGTTTTGTCAGTTTTGTGGCAATGAAGCAAAATATAAACTGAGTTTTTTTTGCAAAATGTTCATATGCAGCAAAGTAAATTACTGAAAAGAAATATTTAGACTTGATACTGAATTGTGGAACTGGTTTGAGTGTTGAAGCTATTGACACCTGTGGAGGGTTCATGTCAGTGCTCACACACTGTTGGAAGAAGCCCTTCAGAGGTCAGTAGAAACTGCAGCTTTCTTTTTGTTCGTACACGTCGTTTTTCATTTCCATGGATTCTATCTCTGACACTATTTTGCTCCAGGATCAAACTGTTGTCTGTCAGTTCTGATACATTTCATGTTTGCAGGGTGAGATTAGGAACCACAGTCATGGAGCAGAAAAAACATTTCCATCATGTGTTTCAGAGTTCAGTGTCTCCACAGTGTGCTCTTCTACATTTGCTTGAGGATATCAGTTGTGCAAACATAGGTTTCCATGCTCATCCTCAATATGAGTTGTACATCTTCCCTCATAGATGTGTTGATTTCAGTGTTTGTATAACCAGTATGCTTTAGAAAGACTCAATGGAAAAACTGCCCTGTTCTTTGACCTGTGTTATTTGTTAAAAAATATTATACGAACAATAACTGAATTGGTTGAAGACACCATTTGTTCACATAGTTTGAATTTTGATATAAAAATGTATTTTAATTTTGGTTGATGCTTACCAACAAATAACGGTTGTGCCTGTTTCCCAGTCCAAAAACGATCCCTGGAGATTCCTAACTAGCTCTGGATAGCATTTTTATCTTTTGAGTGAAAAGCATAAAATTCAAGGGGATGGGGAGAAAATGTCACTGAAAGAAAGAGTCCTCAGTGTCCATGAACGTCCTGTTACAGGGCGGTGACGGCGGCGCTGCTGTGGCCGAGCTGCAGGCTGCTCTGTGTGAGAGGGAGGCAGAGATCCTACGGTTGAAAGAAGAGCTCGAGGCCCTGACAGCCAAACAGGGTAACACAGTCACACAGGTCAGTCATAAAGGAGTACTCCGCCCAAAATAATCTTTTTCATGTCAGATACCTTCCCCTGCTTGCTTGAAAGGTGGCTTTTTAAAGGCTCGTGGTTTCAGAGAACAGCAGCAGTTTTGAATTTGTCTAAACATCTGATTCCACTACTGCTGTTTTCTTGGTGGATCAAAACAGAAAAGGTTCTCAGGAGTTTGCTCTACCAAGTGTACATGAATAATTATGAATAGTTTTGTATTTTTAAGGACACCCAAGCTTCATATCCTGTCTTTATAAGGGGTTCTATCCAAGCTGCAGAAGCTTCTCAAACCATTTCTGCCATCCAAATGGCTATGATGGAGCAGTCTGTTTCAAAAGGTGCTACATACTAATTCTGTTTTTATGTTTATTTGAAAAAGTTGGATGTTGTAACTTTACATTAAATCTTTGAGTACACAACATTGGCTTTACATACAATACAATTACAAAGATGTCTGTGCCCTGCAGGCTGTCATGCAGCAGCATAGTGTAGCTGTCTTTTATATTTAATGTTTTTATTGCCAATGTATGTCTTTCATTTGAGCTCAGGTTAGGATCAAACAGGCCAGAGCACACAGGACTGATAAGAGCCTGGGGCGGCAGATGTTTGCTTTTAGCATTTTAGCTCGAATCCTCTGTTTTCAACTTCTTTCTAAAACTTTTTCAAAAATAATTACACAGTGAGAATGTGAAAGAATGAATCTATTAGGCTCAAAATAAAAGTTGCATGTCAGTGATATGGCAAATGTAGCGTGTGCCAGTAGTTCCTAATTAGCATAGGTTACCGCCCCTAAAAGGGCATGAGGCTACAGGGCTGTGTGCACAGGACACAGAAATGGTATGACTAATGGGTTAAAAATGTTTGACCTCAAATCTGAGGCAACAAAACAAACAGGGAGGAGAGGTGCTGACCAGTGGAGGAGGACAGGCTGCCCAGAGGTATCTGAGCTGGACCAGAGCATCGGGGCCACACGTGGCTCCCTGGGGTGGGCCAACAGCTGAGCAGACCTGCATGTGGGCACCCAGGTCCCTTCACCTGCCCTGAGTCTGATCTCAGATGCTGGACAACCAAATGCTGACACCCTGGCCACAATGTCTAAGAGACACTTAAAGAAATGAGCAGAAATAAAGATATGCACTTTAACATGTTTGGTTTTTATGCAATGTGTTTCCTACAAATAATCACTGTAGTGTTCATTTGTTTAAAAAAAAATACAAATGACAAAACTGTTGCTGTAAATTGAATTTTATATTAACTGTAGAACTGAAGAAAACTAAACCAGCTATTTCACACACACGTCAGCACTCAAATGTGCGTGAGCGTGCTCCTGAGTGTGTGGAGATTCTGTTCATACCCACAAACAAATCACTCCATAGAGGTTGTGTTGCAGGATGAAAGAGCATTAAATCTTTATATTTGTTATGACTTATGTCACTTTCTTATTCTGCCCCTGACAGACTAAAAGCAAAGAGAGCCCCGCTCTGCTGGCTGGGAAACTCCAGAGTGAACAGTCTGCAGAAGGGATGGATACCAGAGCGTCAGTCAGCAGTCAGGCAAGGAACAAGATGGTTCTGTTGTATAGTTTATGGACTTGGTCAGAAACCTTTCTCTTGTTAGGGCAAAGGGAAGCAGCATAAGTAACCAGATGTTAAAAGTTAAGCAAAATACACTGCTCAAAAAAATAAAGGGAACACAAAAATAAGACATTCAACTATTTGTGTTCCATTTATTTTTTTGAGCAGTATATTTTGTTTGGTTGTTGTGAAAATAACAACAAGGGCAGGTTACAGACGAGAACACGGGGTCAACGAATCCTGTTCAAAACTAAGAACGCTGTATAAAAAAAAGATTCCTAATTCAGAATTAAACATGCTTACCTACCTGGTAACAACACAACAACATAAAACCCTTTTCTTACATCCCTGCTTTAATCTTACATGACCAAATGGAACACAATGGGGGTAGCACCCCTAAAGCCTAGTATAGCTAGACAGTGAATGTACCTGAGTGTTAAGGTGAACTACAACCTGGCCCAGTTTCCAGGCAGCGACAGGTGTCTCTAAATAAATCCAACAACACAAATCGAGCATAGAAAATTATTTACTAGCCAGCAGATACAGAAACGGGCAAGTGCTTATTTTGAACAAAGAGTAACACTGATGAGGTATCGCATGTGCTGCTGTGTTGTTTTCAGTGTAATACAGGACACGGATGATTTACACAGCTCATTCTGGACTCAGACATCAACACGTTTCTCTCTTGAGAGACTGAAATAACCTTAATCCTGTGTGGTCCCACAGGGCTCAGCCAGCTGCCCATCAGTGCTGGACTCCTCTGAGATTTCCACAGAGAAACAGCAGGACAAGCCGCTTCCCCCGGCCTGAGCTGGAGACTTCCTCTGCAGCCAAACCCCGTGGTTGTGCAACAGCAGAGCAAAGAGAGCGCGTCCACCTTTAGAATCACTCGCTCAGCAAGCAAGAAGAAGAACAGGGAGATGGAGAAGGTAAGAACACATCAAACAATAGTATGTCCACACATTCACCATTTAGACATGAGCTCACTGAAGATGATTATCAGATTCATCTGAGTGCTGCTATAAACATTCTTTTGCCATTTGATATGTTTCCTACTCTATATGTCCAGCTACAAAAGTAAATCCTCTGTAGATAATAAAAAGACAACTGTGCAACATGAGCCTCGGAGATAGGCTTTTCAATTATTTTCAGAGATGATAGTCCTCCATTTCTCACACATGGTCTGTGGAGAAAATGTCACCGTGAAACCTTTTCTGTCAACCACCATCAATCCAGCACAGGCAGTTAAGGATCGTCTTAATAGTGACTTCTGGCAACAGAGCAGAGCATTTCTAAGCTTGGCACTTCTTTACTAGTGTGTAAGAAACTGAAACTGTGTTGACATCTGCCATAAATATTTGCACTGGTTTTGAAATAGTGTTCTAATGACCCAACTACAGGTCTTATTATTGTAGAGGTGTTGTCATTTTGTATAAACCATGTGATCAGAATACCTTTGGTTTTGAAGCCAGAGGACAACCCTCATTTCATCTCCGTTCTCCTTCTCTGTGCCTCTGGGGACAGTACAACTGATACAATCATTAGCTAATGGTAAAGGACACACTGCATTTTTAAGGAGACACAAAATTTATGGACAGTCAGCTGTTGTTGTCTACTCAAATACAGCTTTTGAAAAATGTTTTTCTGTGTGTTAAAAAAAGATTGATGGCTAAATGTGTCCTGCACCTCAGAACACCCAGTGTAGTTATGACAGGAGGCTGTTACAGTTTTTTGGATGTTGTTTTCCTTCTCTGTACTCAGTAACAACCTGCTTCAGTCTGGTGTGGCTTTTCAAAGAGAATGCAATGTGTAGATTCAGATAACAAAGTCATTATTCAAATCTTTGGTTTATTTGATTGAACTTGTGCTCATTTGTTCAGTGACACATTAATCCATTGTTTTGAAGTTGTGATTAGTCTCGTCTTTTGCTAACCTAGGCAGTAATCCACAGCCTTTTTACTGTTTTTAATGCTTCACTGGATGATTAAAGAGCCAGTGGAGCTTGAAGATTTCCAGGCGTTTTTCTCTCAGGTGATTGTTCTAAGCCACTGTAGCTTTTGCTTGCAGAGAAAGAAAAGTGCTTTTGACTGTCATCACCGCATTAAATCCAGCTGCACACCTTCTGCTCGGGCGTGTTAGTTGTGATGCAGTGGACCTTCCTGCTAATAAAAACCTGGATGATTTCTTGTCCCACTGAAGAGAGAGCTGAAGTGAGATTGATTAATTGTGTAGCCCTAGGTAAAAGGCTAAAAAGTTCTGTAGGAGAGCACGTCATAATATAAAACAGGTACGGTAGAAAACACAGCGTTTGTCCTAATACATAAGCAAATGATAAGGTGTAGAAACATTTCTTGTTTTTATTCTAATTTTAACTCATCGTTCTGATCAGTCTCATCAAGACTGTTAGCTCAGTGAACGTGGTTTGTGTACTGTGTGGGCATGTGTGACGAGTAACAAGGTCAACTAGCCAATCCCATCTGTTCCATTTGGAAACAGATGACAGAATCTTCATCCTGTGAGCTGGTTGATCCTGGCTCTGTGAAACCAATTGTAAGCCACACACCGTCTTGAAAACGTACCCTAGAGCTCCAAACAGCTACAAACAGGCTCCATAGAAACCAGAGCAGTGTGAGACTCTTATAGAAAAGCGAAGGTGTACTGGAGGCTGAACAGGGTAAAGGATGTTTTCAGGACACGGTCAGGCAAGGATTTCATTAAATGCAGCAGAGGAGCTGCATTTGTGTAGATGTTTGTTTTGTCTAATGCAAGGAGAGTAGATTAATTACTCTTACATTTGTCACGCGATACATGCAAATGTTAATATGAACATATGTATATAGATTTACCCAACTGAGATGTACATTCTACCACAGAAAGCCTATGTGCACATACACAAAGGAATACAGCAAAAAAGGAAATGACTGAAACGTGCAAAATATTGTAGATCACACATTCTAGTATATAAACAGAATATTGCAACTGCCACACATTTGCTGTGTGTGTGTGTATGTATATATATATATATATGATGATGAAGTTATTTGTCATGCATACTCTACCCAGCCCACATGGATTTACAATACAAGACACATAAATGAATATAAACCAGATCCAGATAGTCCAACATTCGCATGTATGTACTCAGCACAGAGATGTGGGTGAAAACAATCCCATTAATCATAGGATACCACTTACAAGGAAGACCACGCATACTGTCTGACACATATCCACACTCCCTCCAGAGAGCACATTAAACAAGCACCCCACTCGGAGGAACAAGGGGTCAAGTACAGTTCACTTGTCACATCACCATTCCTCTGTCACTGTCTGCACAGGGTGGTGCTGGTTGCAGCTGGTACCACACCTCTCTTTCAGAAATCATCCACTGTTTTCCAGTATTCTTTCTCTTTGCTAAATAATAACAGTAAATGATTGACTGTCATTTATTCAGCATAATTTCTGCTTCATTCTACTGCTCAGTATTGACTTTATTTATTCAGAATGCTAAATCTCCAGTTATGAAAAAAGAGGTATCTTTGAGCCAATAGCAGATGAGGAATATAAACCAGCCAGCATTTCCCCACTGCCTCTTATTTTGTTCAGTAGATGGTGGATATTGCAAAATAAATCCATGGTTCCAAATACAGCTATATTAAACATTACCGTTTGCTCCGTATTATAACATCATTATTGTAATTTTACCATATTGGAACACATGTAACTCAGCATGTAGACACTGGTTTCCACATAATCCCAAGTGGCGGTGTGTTTGGCAGGTGCCTAAATGTATATATTCTGAATGCTCAGGCATGAAAGTACCTTATGCCAGTAATTCAGACTTGAACGTGCTCAGCGTTGTAAACTAACACAGATAAATTTACTTTAATAGCACCTGCAATATGTGACATCGTTGAAGCAGCCAATTTTTCACGTGGCGAGCCAGAACAATGAATGATATAACGATTATATGAGGACAAATAAATGAGACTATTTATCTACAGGCCAGAGCTTTCGTTTTATGTGGTGTAAATGGACAGGCCTGCCAGCAGTTAAGCTTTCCCATAATCTGTTCTTCTATGATGATAGTATCACAAGAGGCGTGTGCATGTATTAAAGAAAACCTGGATTCCAGACTGAGACATGACACCCAGCATACGGTATGCCCCAATCCCAAAAAAAAAAAAAAAATTCTGCTCTGGGTTTGCATCCACGTTGTGCGGCCCAACCTCACGTGTGCATCAGTGCTCCCCCACTGCCTCTACCCACCTGCTACTCCTCGCCACATACACTTTACATTAGGATTTTCTAGTTTTACAAATGTAAAACCTCCATGAATGAAACATTCATAATACGGGTGATAATCGGCCTCATGCATAGTTCGAGGTGTCCTGTCAACAGTTTTACAGACGTCTCTTTTATCATTGCAGTCTGTGGAGAAAATGCTTTTTGGGCTGCGTGAGGGTTTTCGTTGCCGCTGGGGGGAAATTGGCTGAACAGCTGAATGGCTGTGCCGAATCCAGGTTTCAATAATACATTCATGGTTTATGTTGCCGTTAGTGGAGGATGGCAGATGTACACTCTTTGACACCTTGGACTTGTTGGCAGTATCTTGACAGCAGATTTCACACCTTCTGCGATAACAAGGCTCTTTGCTGAATAACCTTTTATCAGCAAGGGTATGAGTGCCATGCAGAATGCATTTAGCCTATTACCACGTTGAAAATGATCAAACGGATCCTGTTTAGGGAGCCGTAGGATTTCTCTATAGAAAAATGAAAAATGCTGTCACCCTTGTCCTCTACAGCAAAATCCTATGGCCTTAATCCCTACAAAGCAAATGAAGGTACACAAGTATATGAAGAGTGAAAAATGGCACCTTGATTGCAGTTAGCTAATGTTTCCTTGTTGTTTTTGTAACAGTGTAATCAGTACCTTTTATGTAAATGTCCATGAGACCCAATTTTCCCAGATGCTTAATTCCATGGAAAGCAAATCTTGCTGAATAAAAGATCGTTCTGAGACGACACCAAGAGGAAAGCTATTTAGAAACCAGATGAGTCAACTTTGTGATGCAGCAGTTTAAAACACTTAAGTTCTTTTGATTAACAGTTTGAAAAGTAGAAGTAAAAGAAGGACATCTTCCCTCAATTGCAGCCAAAATTATACCAGAGTTTCTGATATGAAGACAGTTTTATTTGATACCATACTTTAAGGACTATCAACAGGTTCGGACAAAATCCTTTAATTCTTTTTTTATAAAAGAAGCCAGTGTTCTCAAATCTAAAGTGTTGTCTAAACACATGCAGCTCTACAAGGACTTTTAAAACTGAAATAGTCTAGTCTGAAATCACAAAGGCTGTAATTAATAATCTGTAAATATAAAAAAAAAAAATCATGACTAAACATCAATGCCCCAGCCATTTTGGAAGGTGAACATAATTTGGTTGGTACAAAGAAAGTAGTGAGGTCAGTTTTGAGTCTGTGTTTGTGCACCAAACCCAGCTAGTCATCAATACAAATTTGAGATTTCCAGTTTATTTTTAACGTCTCCTGAAGAGTCTTGTGAAGGACACCCAAAGTGTAAACCTTCCCTCGGAATATGTTAAAACAGTCAGTAGTAGGAACAGTGTAGAGATGTGTTACCAGTGTGCCTAGATGCTCTGACTAAAGCTTATTAACTGGAACATAATGTAACTAGGCTGTTTTGACTCAGTCGCCGTGTACTCTGCTGCTCTGATGACATAGTGTCTCTTTGGGTACCAGCAGTGGGAGTATTTATACTGCGATGAAACCCCAAAGTAATTCCACTAATGACTACAGTTCTGCTGACTGGGCTGCGTTCAAGAGAGAGAACTGGAACAGAAACACAGGGAAAGGAGGTGCAATGAAACTCCCACAAACAAATGTAGGAGTTGGTGTTGGGGAGGCA